TGTTGGCCTTGTGCACATCCCACAAACAGCCTGGCCATGTTGCTTAAAAGCGGGATGAAGAGCAGTTCTGAGTTCTGGGGGAGGGTAAGGGAAGAGAAAGTCAAGTGTGAGAGCCAGCACCTTTCCATGCAAAGTGGAAAGCTGACTGGGGGAAAAAAGCTTTTCTCAGTGCTAGAGTTTGAACCCTGGCAGTGCTGAGCTACATCCCTAGCCTTTAAAAAAATTTTTTTTTCACATTTTGAGACAGGGCCTCCATAATGAATCCTAACAGGAAGTTCTCAGAAGCAGCGCATTGCTAATGACACTTATCTGTAAATACTGATTACAGAGTTGATAAGCGACTCCTTCATGCTTGGCCTTGGGCTGCTAGTTAACAGTTCTTCTATTGCTACCAGCAAAGTTTCTGAACTCTAGATCTTTTACCCCTAAGCTAAAAGAATCCCTCTCTAGGCTTCCAGCTGGATGTGTAAGGCTCCCTTTTATCACTAGGAATTTCTGCACCTTTTTACCTCAATCTTTTTCTATCTGAGGAGTGTTTCCTGTTTCACCTTTACTGTATTTTACATTTCAATGGCATGTGCTTTGTATTCCCTGTTTCCTGCCTCTTTTCATTTTTCTTTTGTTTGTTTGTTTGTTTGTTTGTTGGTTTTTGTTTTGTTTTTGTTTTTGTTTTTTGGTACTGGGCATGGAACTCAGGGCCTTGCTCTTACAAGGCAGGCGGTGGAACCACTGAGCTAAATCCCCAGCTCCTGCCTCTTTTTATAACCTGAATAAATATTTTCAGATCAGCTCCTCTGTATCACCTTTACCTCTGCAGTGGAGCCACTGGCAGGCTGTCTCTTGAACTGTCCCGAAAGGACCAGTCTTCCTTTTCCTTCTCCTCCCACCATGAGGGACCTGACCCACATCCTGAAGTTCTAGTCCAGTGATTTTCACCCTCCTCCCCTTCAGCAGTTGCACCCTGGCCACACTTTTTGGTCACTTTGACCTACTCTCCTGATGCATTCTCCTGTCATCCCAGGATTTCCCAAGCCCAACAGCTCCCTCCAGATCTCATTTCCTCTGTACTCAGCTCTACTGAACTCCTGTGCGAGTTTTGCTGGAGACCCAGTCCAGGGCCTCAGACATCCTGCTTAGGTACATGCTATTCCACTAAGTCACAGCCCAGCCCCTCCACTGAACTCCTGAGCCACAACCTTGGCAGAGCACCCTGGGTTTCTTTTCTGCCTCTGCTGCTGCAGACAGCACAGCTTTGAGTGGATCCTGTAGGCTCGTTTCTCTCTACACAAGAGCTCTGCCCGTGCACACCTGAACATGAATGCCAATATGTGAAAGTCACTGTGGGTTGCTGGGCTCACTGCCCTTCTTAAGCCCACCCCTGCTGTTTCCCACCTCTCCCAATGCTCCCTACCATCTCCTCTCAGGCCATGACTCTATTCTGATTTTACAAAGAAAACAGAAGAAACCGCCCTCCATGTCCCTGCCTCTTATCCCATGTGCCCCAAACACACCCAGAAGTCCTTCCTCACCCCATCTACCAGCCACCTTCTCCACTAGGTTCTCTCACCTTTGAGGCAAACTCACAAGCATCAGTACTTTCCTGGAGTCTTCTTGTTCCATTGTTAAGTGCTCAATAAATATCAGCCATTATTAATTTTATTCCATGCCCCTTTGTATGAAATCCATCCTTTGACCTTCTAAAACCATACCATTCACATGTCATGTTATTGCACTGAACACATGATTGCAAATTATTTGTCCATACACCTTTCCCTCCTACCATGTAAGACCACGATCTCCTTGAGGACAAAGAAATGTGCCTTTTTTATCTTTGGAAACTGGACAGTGTCTGCCATATACAGTGTTATGTACTCAATAAACATGTGGTGAAATAAATATACACCTAAATATAAACTGACTCATCAGATAACTCTGTGATACAAATATATTCATCTATTTAATGATCACTGTTAGAATCACTTCAAGAAATTTTAAAACCAAAATGCCCTGACTGCAAGCTAAATCAATTAGGTCAGAAAATTAGAGAGCCAAAGCAAGCCTTGGCCTTGTTTAAAGTTTCCATGGATTCCAGTGTGCAGCCTTTGAAAAATCACTGGCTTACACAAGGTAATAAGACTTGGTGTTTAATTCTAATGTTGTATTTCAGGAAAAGTCTGACTCTAATATAGTGAGATAAGCAAATAAGAAATAGAAGAATGCATGTTAAACAATAACAATTTTGGCAGTAAGGTCAGTGGAAACGTACGGCTGGAGGAAGGTGTTAGCACTGTGTGATCGTGACTGGCTTGTTCAGTCCAGTTCTATAACATTTTGGAAAAAACGGAGATGAGTAACAGGTGAGGAAGGCGGTGGAAATGATGTGGGAGTGATGAGCAGAACCTGCCTGGCCTTCAAGAAAGAAGTCAGCAAAACCTGCTGTCTATTCTTTTCAGAAATGACTTCAGAGTCTGCTCCTGGACTTGCCATGTTTTGGATCAAGAATGGTCCCTAAGAAGTCATTATGTATTGCCGGGGATTTAGCTCAGTGGCATCCATGCCTCCCACACAAGCTCAATGTCCTGAGTTCGATCCCCAGCACCAAAAAAAGGAAGTCATTATGGATCACAGCTCTCAGGCCTTGTGTTCAAAGTGCAGCCCATCAACCTCACTTGGGAACTTCTTTAAAGTACACAATTTACACACCTGTAATCCAGCTACTCCAGAGGCTGTGGTAGGACCTCCCAGGGCAATGTAATAAAACCATGTCTCCAAAAACAAGGAAATAAAAAGAGTTGGAGATGGAGCTCAATGGTGGAGTACTTGCCTAGCATATATGAGGCCCTGGGGCCCTGGGTTCAATTTTCGGACAGTTTACTCAATCAGAATTGGCATTGTGGCAAGAGCTCCAGGAGATCTGCATGAATATTCAAGTTTGAGAAAAACTGTCCCAAGGTAGAACCAACACAGCATTTCTGCCAGTCTCCCAAGCAATGCAAATGCTGCTTGCTGGCCCAGGACTTCACGTAAGTATTTCCCTCTGCCAACCAGAGGAATTAGTAATCAGGTCTCCAGCCTGCACTATGTCTTGGTTGTAGATGTGTTATGCATCCCTTTGTTTCAAATGAGAGGAAAACCAGCCCTAAAAGGCTTAAACAGTAAATGAACTGCACTTTTCCACATAAAAACTGAAGCATTCAGAGGCAGGGCTCGCATAATCGAAGCCTCACTCCAGAGGTTCCGATGCTGCTCCTTGAGATCAAGGTCCTCTCATGTCCTTGTTCTTCCTCCGGCTGCAGTAGCCTCATCCCGGTCCTGTAGTCTCAGTGAGTAAAACGGCTGTGGGGGTCACGGACCATTACTCCACCATGTCCAAGGAGAGCCCCTTCCAGTCATTCCCCACCGCTGAGCCACACCTCATCCCTTCAACTTGACAAAGACACCTGAGAGCGATCTCCCAGGCCTCAGCCACAGATGTCAAAAGAGAGAGTTTCCCAAGGGAAAACCAAGCTTCTGCTGGATATGAAAGGAAGAGAGGATGAGGAGATGCCATCACATCCCATCTGGAGGGGTCAAGAGGGAGTTTTGTCCCAATTTTTAAAGTACAGTGCAATGATCTTCATATGAGTGTTAAGTATTTCATTGAGAAATGTACTCCATTAGAATCCAGATGGCTGTGCCATTCATTACAAACATGCTTCCTAAAGAACCAGTTTCAGGACCAGGGATTTAGCTCAGTGGTTCTGCCACCTGCCTTGCAAGTGCAAGGTCTCAAGTTCGATCCCCAGTACCAAAAAAAAAAAAGAACCAGTTTTAGAAAATCCTCTATAAAATCCATACACCCAACACCTACACACAAATATTGAGGAAAGCACCCAAAATGTCACAAAGCATTTTTGAAAAGCATAACTGATTTTTAGTCTGCAAATACCCAGGCTTATGCAAAATCTTAAGTAGCAAGGTAGTAAATAAGATGTGAACTCTGCATTCAACATGGAGAATGGTTTTACCTACTCAAGATTTTACTGTGTTCACCAAGTACTAATGTGGGCCAAACTTTGAAAAATCCTCCTTGAAGTCTGGTATTTCCAACGAATAACATTTGAGGCGGGTGGCCATAAGCTTCTATGAGGGTGTCACCTGAGCTTTCTAGGAAGTGATGTCAGCCAGAGAAAGTAGGAGAGGAACCTTGTTCCTGACTATGTTGTATTGTTACTCATTTTTTCCTGTGTCCCCACCTGGACCATACATTTCCTGAGAATAAAAAGAACAGTGGTTCAGTGGCCAGGGATTTGGCTCAGTGGTACCATGCCTGCCTCAAAAGCACAAGGTCCTGAGTTCAATCCCCAGTACAAAAAAAACACACACACACAAAGCTTGTGAGGTAGGATAGAAAAGGAACAGTGGTTCAGATTCCTCCCCATTATGTGCTATATTTCACACACATAATATGGCAGTCAGTCTTAATTCATTCTAAAGTGCTGTGTTATAAGCTTGGCCCTTTCTGCAGACACAATGCCCCCCCCCACTACTTCAGTGTCGGCATTCACAGGCCTACTGCTCCTTGGATTAGTGGTTAACTTTGATCATAAAACCAGGAGATCAACAGGATTTTCCCCAGGAATGATTTCCTGGCTTCATCCTTCTAGAACACAGTTGGTAATTGCTTCACTTCTTCCCACTGAGAGCTCATAAGTAGTGCTTTAAGTTACTGGTGCCCTATGGAGCTTCCAGTTTCCCTGGGCAGATTTGCCTACACAAACTGTTCATTGTTTATTTGTTGCACCGTACTGGGATTGAATGGTCTTCACATTGAGCTTCATTCCCCAGCCATTTATTTATGTATGTATGTATGTATGTATGTATGTATGTATGTATGTATTTTTGAGACAGGATCTAGATACCAAGTGTGTCTCCTGTGTGCTGTGGGGCAATGGCTAACACACACTGCATTTGATTCTACATAATATAAAATGTAGGCATACACAGATTTTTCTAAAAACCTGTATTTTCAAATTTACAAAGAGGTCAATAACTTAGAACTTTGGGGATAATGACAAACTGTAGAAGGTACTCACTGAATGTTAGGAAAATGTTTTAAAATGGCTGGAGTGAGATGATGTTTGAAGGAAAAAAGTGCTTTCTATTATAGCTCATTAATTTTCCCCTTTTAGCAAGACAATCCAAATGTAATGCTAAAATGCACATAAATAAAAAATACAAAGACATTGACTATGTGTTTAAGCAGATCACCACGTTCGTACTGAGAAGTTCGTTCTGAGAAAGAAACATTTCCTTTAATGTACCTAATACATGGTAAACTGGCATCAGATCTCAGAGGATGGAGCAATGGCAGCTGAGCTGCCTGTCCCTAAGGGCCAGCTTCAAGCTGGTTACAGTTCATACAGTCCAGGCAGGGGTGTAATTGTGGAGCAATCACGGCCGGGCCAGCAGCGGGGGGCTGCTGCTGCTGAGGAAGATTGAGGACCATGAAGAGGACGACCTGACCGTGCTGCAGCACTTAAGGGCCCCCCGGCCACGCAGCAGTATGGGTCCTGGGCGCCGGGGGCTCCAGGAGGCGCCGCTTTGCGCAGCCTGCTGACCATGCAGACATCCGGGTAGCACTGGCCCCGGGCAGCGGAGGAGTGAAAAAAGTTGGTTCCAGCTCCACGTCGTGCAGCCTGGACAGGTTGGGAGCGGGGAGCTGGCAGCAGTCGAGTGGGGGCGCGCTTGAGCACGGGGGGTTGCGGTGGGGCTGCGTCCGTGTGTGGGCGCGGCAACACTGGGCTGCAGGGGACAGGCCTAGGCCGTCAGAGGCCACGCTGCCGGGAGGAGTCCTGGGCGCCGATCTGGTCCCGCTTGAGCCTCTCCTAGCGCTTCTGACCCCGCCCTCGCCTCGCTGGGGACCGAGTCGCTCGACAGCTCCCAGAGAGCAGGCTTCGGTCTCTCAAGGCCACAGGAGGCCCTCTGAAAGGCTGCGGCCCGCTGTGCTACACGAACGAAGACGGTGTGAGAGTGGAAGTTAACAATCATCCCTGTGCCAGAAGGGGGATGCCAGGGGCCTCATCAGCCCGCGCTCCTCGGGCAGATCTCATCGCCTCAACCGAGTCTCCCTGCAGGCTTAGGGTTCTGGAAATGCCAACAAGCCCTCCCACAGGCCAACCCTTGCCCTGATTAGGCAGGCAACCTCGGGGACCACCCTCCAGGAGGCACTTACGCCCCTGAGGGCTCCAGCAAGGCTGGAAGAAAGCACCCCGGAGATCCGGCACAAAAGGAGCCTGTCTTGGGAAAGACTGCACCGATTTCCACCCCTTTTTCTTCGGGTAGGAAATGTGCTCCCCATTGGGTCCTGTATATTTAATAAAGGTACTGTCCTGTCTTGTGCACAAATTTAGTCTTTGCATCACGGGGCGGTCTGCGGGGGGGGGGGGGGGCGGTGCTCAAACTGTACCTGAAGAATTAAGTCAAGGATAAAAATTTCTGTCGGCCTGACGTGTGATGTGGACACCAAGGAAGAGTGGAAAAAGCCACCAACGAGTAAACGTAGATCCATCTTGTAGGAAGATAAGAACACCAGATATTGCCGGAGATTTAGCTCAGTGGTTCTGTCGCCTGCCTTGCACGTGCAAGGACCCGAGTTCGATCCCCGGTACCAAAAAAAAGACAAAAAACAAGAACACCAGATACACTATTACTGGAAAGTTCTAGGATAGACGAAAATATGATCCCATTGGTGAAGAGAGATCCCCTTCAGCTGGTGCCGTGTAGATATAAAGAAATGTGTACAGGGGACCCAGGATAGGTGTAATGAACCTAAAATTAGCACGGGAGCAGGATGACTTTGTTTTTTAGATTGGTATGAAAATGTATATGCAGGAGACCATGATTTTACATTGATTTGGTAAAATTAAGCTTGGTCAGTTTATTTCTTCCATAAAAAGAGCAAACAAATCTTTCCCACCTAACTGCAAAAGATTCTGGAAACTCAAACTGCTCACAGCTACAGACCACCCTCTCAACACATTTTCTAACACAAATGTGAGGAACAATAACCAAAAAGAAAAGGAAAATCTCAAGTCTACTCTGGCTAGCTTGAGATTCTAAAAATTTAAGTGTTTTTCTGAAAAATGGTGTGGAATACATTTCTGGCTTCAAAATGACGATCAGTTTATCCCTATCTCTCACCTCCTCACTTGTGAAATAAAGTACGAGCGCAGCTGTAAACCCAAAAATAATTTTTTAAAAAACTTTGAAATAAAGGTGTCCAACTTTTCAAGAGAACCTTGCCTGATTAGAGGACACCTTACAACCTTTCCCAAGATCGCAAAATTCCCTGCTCTTTATCTTTTATATCTGGACATAGGTTGACAATTTGGTTTTGAAACTTTTGATTTCACCAAGGCGATTGTACACCAGCCACTATTTCCCAAAAGATAAAGACTCACTACACAGGAGAGTTCTCGAGGGAGAGTCACGGACCCACTGACTGCAGAAGCCCACGCTCCCCCGGGCCTCGGTTCTAGGCGCCTTGGCTTCCAGTGCTCCCGCCTCGGCCTAGTCCCACACAGCAGGCTCCTAAGGTCGGGGTCTTCAGGCGCACTTCGCAGCCTCCGAACCCTTAGACTCTCCCGAAGGGAGGGAGGCGCGCCCTCGGCTCGGCCCGCGGTCCCTCCCGGCGCCCCGCGCCTCGCCGCCACCTCGCCCTTCACCTCCCCGTCCCGGGGCCCGGCCCGGCCGTCACCGCGGGCAGCGCGCTCCGGTCGTCCCGGCGGATCCCGCTTCCGGGCTGCTCTCCGCGCTCCACGCCGCCTCCCCCGACCCGGGAGGAGGGCAGTGAGGCTGGAGTCGCCCCAGGGCTGCGCGGGTCCTCGGGGCCGAACTTGCCGCTGGAGTTCGGGGCCAGCCCCGGCCCGCCGCGGGCTCCGTGGTCCGGGTCCACGCAGTGGCGGAGCGCGCGTCCCCCGGCCGCGGGGCCTTTCCTGCTGCTGCCCCGGGGCGGGCGGAGAACCTGCGCCCTGGCTCCTGCCCCGGGCCTCCGCCTGCGCCCTGGCACCCAGGCTCCGAGCCCCGCGACGCCCAGCCGCCTGCTCCCTAGGGCCCCGCAGCCCCAGGGCTGGGCTCTCCTCCCTCTCCCTCTCCCTCTCCCTCTCCCTTCCCAACAGACAGCAGCGCGCGGAGCCCCCGCCCTCCCCCTGGAAGGAAAGTCCGTCCCGGGCGTCGCGCGCCTCTGGACCTGCCGAGGTCCCAGCGCAGCCGGCCGACCCCTCACACGCGAGGAGCCCTTCAGGGGCCGGGAGGCGGACGCGCTTTCCTCCGAGTCCTTCCAGCGCCGCCGGGCGCCGGGCTCCGAGCTCAGCGCCCCAGGCCCCGGGAAGCCGGCGCACGACCACCCTGACGGCCGCGGGGAGCCGGCCGCGCTCCTTCCCCAGCATCGCGCCTCGGTTACCGTCAACCCCGCGTCTCCTCTCGAGGATGTTCCCCTGGTTACCGGCGGTGCGGGTGGGGATTCCCGGCGAGGGGACGAGCAGCCCACGGGGCATCCCGAGGCGGGAGCGTGGGGGGACCTACAGCGAGCCCACGGCTTACCCTTGACATTATTCTGTTTTCTTTGTGGAAAGCTTTGGGGAAACTACTTATCTTTCCTAGTGGAGTTTATGAAGCGTAAAGGTCAGATTGCAGCCAGGGAGATGTGGAGTCTTGATTTTCTGGGATTGACTGAAATGCTGTAAGAAAGTATTTCTCAGCTAGGCTGTGTGGCGCATGCCTATAATTCCAGCACGCTAGGAAGTTGAGGAAGAAGAATCAGAAATTCGAGCCCAGCCTTGGCAATTTAGTGACTTAGCGAGACTCTGCCTCCAATTTTTTTAAAGTTTTTTTTTTTAACCAAGATACATCACGTACAGGTACAAATACCCAATGATAAATGTAAACGCATTGTATACCTAAGATGTACCAATAAAAGAATATAAGCCCAAAAAAACGGTTTTTTTTTAAATTTAAAAGGTTGAGTATGCAGGTCAGTGCGAAGGCCTTGGGTTCAAGCCCCAATATCCCCTCAAAAAGTTTTTCATACAATGCATGAATTCAATATTCAGTCTGCTACCCTCACCCCCCTCTATTAAAATGGCCACCTCTGCACCGGAGGGAAGAGTGGGAGGCAAAGATACCCTCACTTTCCCAGGTGGGAACTAAAGCCTTCCAGTTTGTGTGGTGGTACTGGAAAAGCGGGGTGCAGCCTTAATGCTTTGAAAGGCAATGTTAATACGTAGAAGAAACAGAAATAAGATATATCACATTTGCAGGGCAGAGGAAAGTAGGAAATTGTTATCATAGCAGGAAGTAAATATCTAAAACGGATAAACCTAGAATTGGCCTCTGAATTATTAATTAGCTGCCAGATGAGCAGAATTATTAATGGAGGTGACAATCCAATAGGTTTGGGGGGGCCGTGCTGAACTGACTCTGAGATAGAAACTTCTGCAACTCTGATAAGCCCATCTGTAACGGAGCTTGAAGTTTTTCAAGCATATGCATCATCTAAATCTTTATTTTTAAATGATTAAATAAAGAATATCTTTTCCATACCCATAATCTCTATCGAAACCTAAATTTTTGTTTTCTATTACTTCATCCTGTAATCTCAGTGAATCTTTTCAGTGTTCTGTTCGTGGAAAGTGTGTGTGTACCTGAAATCCCCACCTACCATTGTATTCAAATGTGTGAGCACATTCTGAATTTTAAAAAAGAAAAGAATCCACTATATAGCAACAACAGCAAAATCGTTTCTTCCTTTTTCCAGTGTCTCTGAATTTTCTCCTCATCCGTGCATCCATATTGTTTTGGGGAAACAGCTTTTGAACACAGCTCAATTTAGAAACTAAATATGAGGTTTTAGCATTACTTGAAACTGCTGAAAGCCAAAATCTGTTTTTCAATTTGTTGCCGCTCCCTCATTTCACTCTGCTTATTTACTCTCACCTCTGAACGCTCAATTTTTAAAAAGGAAATGACTTGGAACTACTGTTCAGAACTTTAGAAACCATGACTCTGTGGGAGGAGGGGCTGGCAGAAAGGTGAATGTTGGTAGATTCAGTGTTGAATTCAGTATTCCCTTCAAGTTGTTCTCCTTGAGATTTCCATTCAAAATGTAAATTTATAGATACTCAGAAATTCTAGGGCCAGGGATTTAGCTCAGTGGTTCCGTGCCTGCCTCGAAAGTGCAAAGTCCTGAGTTCAATTCCCAGTACCAAAAAGAAAGAAAGAAAGAAAGTCTACACAAATTCTTCAAGTGACAATTATTTTTGTTCTCAATTTATAATCAAAGAGGTTGAACTGTCCAAAGCTCAGAGTATCTCATGGATGATCTGTCTCCAACAAATGCAAACAGTCTTATAAGGCTGTAAAATTCTCTTTCCACTAAGCAAAATATTCACGGGAGGTCAGTGGTTTTAGTTGTCCTCAGATAAGTAGAGATACATGAAATCAAAAGACGGAATGAGGGACAGAAAGAGACACTGTAGGTGCGTGAGTGCCTTCTCTTCTGCGTAATTACATTGGATCCCTGCACAATCCAGTGGGCTTTGATCATTATCCAAAGAGCTTTTCTCATTATCACATTTTTTAAACAGATGAGCTGATCAGAGTTCAGAAAAGGTTAGTGACTTCTCCAAACTCAGAAAACTAAATTGCTGAGTGAGAAGAACCTCAGATTCAAAATGCAGAGATTTTTTTTTCTTTTGGGACACTGCCACTCCTAGCTTTTATTCAGCCATTCTTTGCTCCTTACTCCAATAGCTTATAGTCTTGTGTTGTTAATTTTTATGTTCCAAAATTATTTGACAGAAAAGAGTTATAGCCATGGGGTGACTGCTTAAATAGAAAAGATAGGCAAAGCAGGCACTCCTGAGCTCTCTGGGATGCCTCAATAGAAAGCTGAGGTACCAACAGTGGAGTAAGTTGTTTGATCAGTTGTCTGACCATATACCAGGAGCCAGCTCAGGGTCACAAAATATAAACACCAAAGTCCCTGCCGCAGAGCTCTCCTAGTAGCCAGAGAGACTGGATAGACAGACCTTCCTTAATAAGCTATCAGGGTTTTGAGAAGGCCCTGACTCCCAGGAAGAGTGGACAACCTCTCCCATCTACTGGCATTTATTTATTCTTATCTGAATCTCTACACAGAGAATAACTTCCAAAATAATCTTTACCAGCCATACCAATTGTGTCGGACAATATTTGTTATGAAATAAACTTTGACAAAGCATTTAAGACTTTAAAGTAGAGATACAATACTTAAAACTAAAATTACTTCAGCAAGAATAATTGGATATTTTAGTTTTTTCCTTTTCTTTGGTACTGGGGATCGAACTCGGGTCCTTGCACTTGCGGGGCAGGCGGTGGAACCATTGAGCTAAATCCCCAGCCCCAAGTTTTTTCCTTTTATTTAGTCAAGTTACTTGGAGCTACAGAAAACTTTCTATACTTTTTTCTTTTTTTGATTTTTATTAGTACATGTTTATAGTATATAACAATTACACTCATCATGAGGAGGTGGTAAGAGTTTCTATAGTAAGGAATATAATTATTATTCACAAGATATTTAGCCCTCACTGTATACCAGGCACTATAGTCAGATATTTTAATTTCTAATATTTTGAACAAAATTGAGAGAATGCCAGTGGTGAGGATTCAGTGTTTGTGTATTGAAGATGATACAAACTAAATTATTCAATCCCATAAAGCTGCTTGTTAATTCAGAAGAAGCACAAAGCAACCTAGGCATTAGAGAGGGTAAAGAGTTCAGTGGGGCCTGGTGGCCTGCTGGCCATCCCAGCACTCCGGGAGGCTGCCTCCTGAAGCAAGAGGATCACACGTTTGAGGCCAGCCTGGGGGAAGTCCTATCTCAAAACCGTAAAAAAATTTAGAAGGGGTGGGGGTGTAGTTCATTGCTAAGGCCCTAAGTTCAAATCCCAGTATCACAGGAAGAAAGAAGGAAGAAGGAAGGAAGGACAGAAGGAAGCAAGTAAGGAAAGAGAAGAAGGGAAGGAGGGAGGGGAGGAGGAGAGGGGGGGGGGAGCGTGAGAGAGCACTATAGTGAAAAATTAATTAGGAGATGAAGCTGGATCCCAGGCCAGAAGATCTAATGACACACAGTATTCAATTGGCCACAGGTTCATCCTGTAGGAAGGAACTTGAACCAAATGAAGAGTCCTCATCCGACTCAGGATGGGGACTGGGAAGGAGATCAATACCATTTTTCCTCCAGTGAATATTTTGGACCCAGAAGGAAGCACCTTGTAACCAGGAAGAATAAATTTGTGCCGAAATAATGGATGTAGACTACCTTTCCCCATCCAAATCAAAGAGGAACAGGAGGAAGGGAATGGTGAACATCCATGATGTGACAGGCACAATTCTGCATAATAAAAACAAAATGAAATGAGACCTATAAAAATGTTAGTCCTTCTAGAAAACACTGATGTCTTTTGCAGTGAATCAAATTAAAGGCATAGTAATCTTCAGTGATAAGGGTGATAAGTAAAATATTCATGGTGATATTATCTCTTACCCACTTGTGTAAGTAATTTACAAATTTATCTTTAGTTTATCAGACCCATATGGTAACTTTAATAGAAATTATCAGTGTCTTATGGAGGAAAAATACCCTCTTCTTTATTGTTCTCAAAGGTGTATAGATTCTATATGGACCTAAAACTGGATAATTCAGTCCAGGAAAGGGCTGAATTCTTACTTCCTAACACACTTCTAAAGTAGGTCAAAGTAGAAATGGGGAAAGAACAATATATTCTTTATTTATTTCTGAAATAAAACAATAAGAATTTGAGACAATGTATTTTTTAAAAATCACTAGCTAGGGGCTGGGGTGTAACTAAGTAGCACAGTAAGCACAGCATGCAAGCATGAATGAACCTTTCCCACTGCCCTGATGAGGGAGGGCCTTTTTTTTTAAGAAAAGTCCTCCCACCTGTGGATTTCCTGGGCACTTCTGAGTATTTTTATTTCAGTCCTGCTGGGGATTGAACCTGAGGCTTTGAGCATGCTAGGCCAGCACCTCACCCTGAGATAAATCCTTAGCCATCTTCTGAGAGCATTTTACTCTCACTTTTCTTGGGTTCCAATCAGATGATGGCAGGTGGAAGTGAGCTGGAGGGGGGCCAAGGGGTGTGTTGGCTCTCCTTTCCACCTTTATGTAGCCTCACCCTTTTAGTAGCTGATAACTGGACTTTTTACACAGTTCCTCAGAACTCTCAAAAGTTTAAAATACACAATCTACCAAGTCTTCCTACAAGTTGGTCCAGGAACTGGCATAGCCTCACTTCTTCCATTCACTTCTGGGTTGATTAAATTTGGGAGAAGATTATAGAAGAATGAAAATTCCTAAGTAGGGTCCGCTGCTGCCAATCAGGGAGACTGACTACTACCACTACTACCACAGCATCATGGAGTAAAAGATCACATCTTCATCTTGGCAGCACATTATGGGTTTCTTCTACAATTGAAAGAAGAGCATAACACTCCCCATGCCTTGTGAATCATATACCACAAGAAAGGGGAATTCAATATAGGAAAATTTCTTGAGATACCATTTTTTATTTTGAAATGTAGAAAATTGCCTTTTTGCTTTGATGCTTGAGTGTCATCCTTCCCAACAAATCTCCATCTTCGGGGCTTTGGATTCCTACAAACTTTGGACGGTGATAAGGGATCACAAACAAAGAGGTCATATCAAAAATATGAAGTGTATGTGCACTTGTGTCCGTTCCTGAGGACTCCTCCTTTTCTTCAGACCAACATCTAAGGTTAGTTTAAACATGCAAAATATTTCCCAATGCCTAGAACTCAACAAAATGAGCAGGTCCAAGTGGCACACAGTTATAATCCCAGCTAAATGAGAGATTAAGGCAAGAGGATCACAAATTCCAGACCAGTCTGGCAACTTAGCAAGACTCTGTCTCGAAATAAAAACTAGAAAGGGCTGAGGATATAACTCAATAGTGGAGTGTTCCTGGGTTCAACCCTCAGTATTAAAATGCCCTGGATTCCTATCTCTAAAATACACTATCTCAGAAGTAAAGGTTGAGGAAAAGCAATTTATCCTTTATATACTTGCTTCCAAAGTAAGAGCAAAAAATTGAGATAAATATGAAAAATCAGAACAATCACTAGCTGGTATTTGTCACTTCCTAAGCAGGTGAGGAAAGAGAAGGAATTGGCTTGATTCCCCTACTCCCTATGCCCTGTTCCCAAGAACTATACCTGAGGATGAATGACCTGCCGTCCAGATAAATGCATTAGGATTCTCTTGACTGTTTTAGCCTTTATTATTTTGCCACCTGGTGAATAGTTAAGAATATACAATAACTTGAAAGGCAGGTGTGGTGGTGCACATGTGTACTCTGGAGGCTGAGGCAGGAGGATCACTGTGACTTCCAAGCCAGCCTGCACCACACATTGAGCTCAAGGCCAGCCTGCAGTACACTGTCTCTAACCACTCACTCAAAAAATATAACTTCACCTGGTACCAAAAAAATATATGTGTGTGTGTGTGTGTGCGTGCGCGCGTATAAAACTTCAGCTGGGGATGTTGCCTAGCATGCAAAGGGTTTGATCCCAGCACCATAAAAGAGATTAAAAAAAGGAACGTGACCGGACTCTGCATTTATCCTCCCAAGCACTCTCCCTTTTTTTCTCCTCTCCCCCTTTGCCTATTTATTTTCTTAGCATTGTTAAGAGATAGTTAGCAAGGGCACAACTGAGTCTCCTTGAACACATGTTCTAAAATGTCTACAAAATAATGGGAGCTGGGCACATGGCCTTGAACCTGGGAGTGTGGCCCCTCTGCTCACGTTACCCACTGGCAGCACCTCTGGGTGAAAGAACAGGTGCTGGGGGGGAACAACCTGTCCGGGCTCAGAGCAAGAAAAACCTCCGTCAAGAGTAGAGCAATAATTGAAAATTGGAGTAGATGATAATCCTGGGGTGAGCTTTATAATCTTAAAACTATTAACTTAGCCTCTGCTGCATTTCTCAAAATATTAACTTTTCCTCACTGAAGCTTTGTATCTGTCACATTCCTAGTGCTCAGGAATCCCCTCCAGAAAATGTTCCCTCCCATTTCTCAGGAGAACATTTCAGCTCGGATCTCTCCTACAGATAAATTCTTTCAATGCTCCTCCACCCCTTTTTTCTCTATTGCACTTATCAGATTGGAGAATTATATAGTTTCTCACCACCCACAATGACAAATTCTCCCAGTGCCCACAGATATACCCTCGCATAAAGGAAAACAGCGGACAAATATGTTAGGAACTTGTACCGAGGAGGTTGGGGTGTGTTTCAGTGACACAGCAGCTTGCAGGAGGCCCTAGGCTCAGTCACAGATGCCAGCACCTAGGGGAAAAGAATTTGTACCGGCCACCTTTCTCCGTGTGACACGTCATGGGTCATGGGGAGGGCCTGGTGTCTCCTTCCATCCCTTGTGAAATGGGAACAGCACAGGAGTTTGTAGGCTTGTTGGGGCTCCAACTCTGCAGAATAGCATTGAGGAAACATCTGGCACAGGAAATACCCAATACAAATTACCTGTTCCTACTTAAATCTCGATCTGTAAGTGTGTGAAAAATGCCACTGCAATTAGCACTGCAGATTGCAGACACTGATCTACCTACAACCCTGTAGCTCAGTGCCTTCCCTGATAAGGGTGTGATGGAATGTGCTGGGACTGTAATTTTAAGCACACTACATTTAAATGACCTATAGATCGGCCCCAAAGTATTGGGACCTTGGGCGCCAGGAAATGCAATCATCTATGTACAGCAAAATATTGAAATTAGATACTAAAGTTCGCTAAAAGTTACAATGCAATTTGATGATTTTCCGTGACTTGTTATTTTTAACTCACCCACACCACTTCCCAAGACGTAAAAATGTGAGAATTAAAGGCAAGTTGTATTGAATGACAGTATGAAGATGGGTGGAATTAAAAAAAAAAAAAGTGAACCAGAAAGCCTCTCTAGGCAGGTCTCAAAGTTGATTTAACAACTAGAATTAACTAGAAAACCAAAACTACTCAGAAGATCCTTGCTAAGGTGATACACTAGATTTAGAAACATTTACAGTATTAATGACTACTTTTTGGAGACCAAGACCACTTAAGTATGTGAAGTTAGGATCGCTCCATGAAACTTCTGTAGCAAGAATAAGTACATCAAACTTGAACAGCTTAATGTTCATTTTTAGGGCTTCTCTTTGTAGGCAATTTTAGTTTTACTGTAAGAAAGTGAAAATTTTAGTTTTATATACTCCTAATTGTAACACTGACTTTAAAATTGGTTTCCGACAAACTAGTGGGACAAAGGCAAGGCTAGAGTGAGAAAGCAGAATTCCAGATTTTATTTTTTAAAATACTTTTTAAAAACACACCCAGGACACAATTTCTTTTATCAATACGTTTTCAAGAAATGGAGCAAGAAATTTAAAGAAATGGACACATTAAAACCTTAGCTAATTTGAAAGTGGAGACTTGGGAATAAGTCCCTGAATATATTTTAACCAAACCTCACATTACCTCCCCAACTGTTCAAGTGGCAGACAAAATAAATTACCATAAATTAGGTGCCAAGGCAACTTAAAAACAAAACGAAACAGGAGGCTAAGGATCTCCCCAGCTTTTCCAGGAAGTGTGTAACACTGTGCTTCTTCTGGCCCGCGGGCGGGGGCAGATCGGGCGCTGTCAGACGTCGGGGTAGCTGCAGTAGTACACCGCAGAGCTGGCATCCGACACCACGGAGGAAATGGCCCCGTGGCTGTCCAGCAGACTCACACTAGAGTCGTGTCCCTGGTAGGGGAGACCCATCTCGGGTTTGCACACAAAGTGCAAATACTGTTCGAATTCCGTGCGGTCAACCTCCCCAAGGAGCTCGGCGGCGGGCTGCCCGGGGTCCGTGGCTTCCCGGCAGGGCAGCGCCTCGGGAGGCGGCGAAGGCTGGCCCTGGCCCGGGCCCGGCGGCGCGTGCTGCTGCTGCGGAGGGGGCAGGTGGAAGCCGCGCGCGCCGCCTGCCCCGGGGGAGCCCATGGCGCCGTAGTACATGTGCAGGGCGCTGGGGGGCGCCAGGAGCCCCGGCATGGCAGGGCCCGCGGACTCGGGGCCCAACCGCGGGTGCAGGGGCCCGGCCGGCTGCTCCGGGGGCACCGCATAGTCCGAGACCTGCGCGTAGCTGTAGTTGCCGGCCGCCGGGCAGTCCCCGGGCAGCGGCGCCGTGAAGAAGGCCGGGTCTGGCTCCACGCTGTCCAGCGGGGACGTGTCGGGCGTGGGCAGCGGGTAGGCGTCGAGCGGGGGCGCGCCCAGGGCCTGGCAGTCGCGGTAGTGGCCGCCCATGTGCGGGGGCAGCAGCGGTGGGCCCGCGGGGAAGCCCTGCTCCGGGAAGGGCAGGCCCAGGCCGTCCATGGCCACGTGGCCGCCCTCGGGGCCCAGCGCGGCGGCCTGTGGCTCGGCGAGGCCGTGCAGGAAGCCGCCCTCCACCCGCTTCAGCCGCTTCACCTGCTTGCGCCGCCGCGGCCGGTACTTGTAGTTGGGATGGTCCTGCATGTGCTGCACGCGCAGCCGCTCGGCCTCCTCCACGAAGGGCCGCTTCTCCGCCAGCGTCAGCGCCTTCCAGGACTTGCCTGCATGGGGTGGGAGGGTAGAGAAGGACGCAGGGCTTAGCGGCCGCGCTCCCGCTCCCAGGCACCGCTTGGCCTCCCCTTTCACCCCCAACCTAGAACTGCGCACCCCGAGGAGGACCCGGGTCAAGTTAGCTCGAAGGTCTGGGACGCCTTCAAATCCAAGCACTCCGGAAGACGCGTCCAGGAGTAGCCTGTGCTTCTGGAAGCCTCCTGGAAACCGCTTCCTCCATCCCAGTCACCCATCTCCCCTTGTTCGAAAAACTGAGCACGTCCAGTAGGCTGGAAAAGGGTCGGGGACAAGCATAGCCCAATTCAGGCCTAGGAGTGCGCTCCACACCGCTGAGGCGCACGGGGAGCCCGCCGCCCCGGAGCCTCTGGATCCGCGCCCAGGCCCCCGGATTATCTGCGCTCTGCCGGTGGAGACCGAAAGCCTGTCTGGAGAGTTCAGAAGCGGGAGGGGGGAAGCGAGAGGAGGAGCGCCCCGGGAAGGAGGACACATCCCCTAAACCCAGGGTCTGGGCTCGGCCCGCACAAAAGCCCGACCCTTTCTGGCCCAAGGGAGTGGCTCCAAGACCCGCACCAGCGCGCGCACACTCACCTAGCATCTTGCTCAGCTCCGCGTTGTGCAGATCCGGGTTCTGCTGCGCCAGCCGCTTGCGCTCGTCCTTCGCCCACACCATGAAAGCGTTCATCGGCCGCCGGATGCGAGACTCGCCCTTGGCTCGGCCCGTGGTCCCTCCCGGCGCTCCGCTGCTCGCCGCCACCTCGCCCTTCACCTTCATGTCGCCGAGGGGGCTCAGCGACTCGGCCCAGGGGCACGGGCCCAGCCCTGCCATCACCGCGGGCAGCGCGCTCCGGGGCTGACTCTGGTCGTCACTGGCGTACCCCGCATCCGGGCTGCTCATGGCGCTCCAGCCCTGCCCCGCGCCCCGCTACCCTCCGCCGGACTCGCCGCCTCCCCCGACCCGGGAGGAGGGGAGTGAGGCTGGCGATGCCCCGAGGGCTGCGCGGGTCCCCTGGGCGCGAACCTGCCACGAGAGTCCCTGGTCGGTCCAGGCCCACGGCGCTGGCAGCGCCCCCAGTCCGCCCAGTGACAGTGCGGGCGTCCGGCGCCGCGGGGCCTTTTCTCCGCAGATGCGGCCAATGACGCGCAGGGGGCGGGCCGGGAGCGCGCGCGGAGGGCCACGCCCAGCCAGTGGTCGCAAGTCCCCGTTCCACCCGGCCGGCCTCTCCCTCCCTTGGGCCCGCGCGCTCTGACCTACTCCGGCCCCCGGAAAGACTGGCTGGAGCCAGGCTCCGGCGCCGCGTCCTCCAGACCCAGGAAGAGGAGTGCGGCAAAACTTGGCCTGCACCGCACAAAGTGGCGTTTGCCCAAGGTGCTACATATTAACCTACTAAACGTTCATGCCATTGTCTTTTAAAATGACATCTTTATTGTGTGAACCAATGGCATTTCAGTGGTAGACGATCTCGTTTCCCTCCAAGGAATTACACAGGGGTCTCCTTCAAATGTATTTTCTGAAAGAAGATACCGAGGACAATAAATGAATACATTCGCTCCCCGAGGGCTCATCTTGCTTGTATTAAAAATGTATGTCCAAAATAAATTCTTACTTTAAAAAATAAAATTACGGAATGACGTTCTACCTCTTAATATTCCATCTTGAAGAATTTTAAATTTTTATTGATGATATATCTAAGTACACATATAAAAATAAATGACTGCTGCCTGCCTCGCAAGCGCAAGGTCCCGAGTTCGATCCCTGGTACCCCAAAAATAAAAAATAAATAAAAATAAAAATAAAGGAGAGATGATAGGAAACTGGAAGATAAACTCCTGGAGATGGGAAAGAAGAAGAGAGAAAGGGAGGAGGAAAAGCCAGAGGGGAGTACAGAGATTCTGTATTATAAACATGCACTAATAAAAAAGAAAAAATTGTGCATGAAATATGTAGGATAAATATAACAAAACAATTTCTCATATGTGTTCGCTAAAAAGGTCAAGACTTAGTGTCGATTTCTAAAATGCAGAGATGAATAAGGCCCTGGGTTCAATCCCAAGCACCACAATAAATAAATTAAAACAAAAATAAAATACAACCTGGGCATGATGGCACACGCCTGTAGTTGCAACACTTTGGAAGGCTGAGGTAGCATTGCCAGTTAGAGCCCAGCCTGGACAACTTAGTGACTTAACAAGCCCCATCTTGAAATAAAGTTTGAAAAAGGAATGGGAATTTAGTGAGTGCAAAGGCCCTGGGATCAGTCAAGGAAGGGGGAGCAAAAACGGTAGCATTGTTTGCATGTTCAAGTTTATTAGCAAAAAGAGAGCATCCCCTTGACCAGCAAAATAACCGTATCTCTTAAGAGTCTATAGAGGTGATTACCCTGGCAGATAATTTGGACACTTCTCTACATTTCTTTAGACTAGAAAGAAAATCTGAATGACTTTTAAACATGTGTTAAGACTTAAAAAAACTTTTCTGTGGAATTTCTTTGAAAGTGCTTATATGAGACATAACATGTCATTCAGATTTCTTAGAACCCTCCAAACCTTAAGGAGCCAGTCATCCAATCATGAGTTGGACACTAGCTTACAGTATTAAATTATAGGTGAAGAAACTGAGGCACAGGTTAACCAACTGGCCAGAGATCAAAGCATTGGGAGGGTGAAATTTACACCCAGTGGTCTGCCTTGAGATCAGGAGCTCCTAATCACTAAACCTGGCTATTATGTTTGTGTATTTGTATTATTTTCAAAACCATGACAGCCATTCCTACAGAGGGGGGGAAAAAATCAACACATCACTCTCCAGAACAGATTTAAACAGATTTCTGTTGTTTGTTACCAAGAGGTAATGAAAAAGTAGTGCCACCGGGTTCTGAGAAACAAAATGCTATACGTTTTTATGTGATTATTTCAGGGACAAATTCATTTATCAAGTCTGGCTTATTAGTAGTATCCATTAAAAACACAGAGCTTTTGTTAACACCTGGCCAGTGGTTTCTGTGGCATTGCTTTTTCCCTGTAGAACCTGTATATAACTCTTTTAAATCAACCTGTTTTTAGCTTTTCAGTGATCTGTACAGCACTGGCCGTTATTTCTTCCCTTTAGAAGTCAGTCTTCCTACAGGGTCATGGTAAGGTAGTGGTTCCAGTTGCTGGGTCTTTTAGGTTCAGGCAAGAAAAATTTAAATCTGCTTAAAGAAATCAGTAGAGGAATGTGCTTTTTTAATTAGTGGTTTTAAAGCAATTGAACTTAATTTTAACTAGTGATGTGCTTTCAAGCTTTATTATTTTCTGAAAAAGACCTGGTTTGAAAACAAAGTGAAGCACACTGAAAATGGTTATATAAGAAAACTAGAAAAGAGACAGTACTATTACAAATTAATCTAGCATCTTCCTCCTTGCTGTTTTTTGTTTGTTTGTTTTTCGAGATTTTTTTTTTTCCCTAGTACTAGAGATTAAACCTAGGACCTTTGTTCTGGGCAACAATCTCAGTTCTTTTTAAATTTTTTGGTTTGAGACTGGGTCTCACTAAATTGCTCAGGCTGGGCTCAGCTCGAACTTTTGATCCTCCAGTCTCAGCCTCTCCAACTTCTAACTGTTCTAGATAATAACAAATATCTTTTTAATGATCTTGAAGTAGAGTTTTTCTTAATACAGAATATTTTATGAACCATGAGGGTCATTTAGAATGAAGATTGAAAACCAAACAAAAACAATGCCTGGGTTCCAGAGCCTGCTTCGAAAGCACAAGGTCCTGAGCTCAATCCCTGGTACCAAAAAAAACCCCAAAACAATGCCTGGTCCAGAATCCATTTTGTCTGTCTAAAGTAATTCATTTGACCAAGTTCTTCGAAGATAAAATACAGGAAATATAATCCAGGTATGGGTCCAGGAAATGTACATGCTCAGTTCTACTCTCGTTCTTCCTTCTATGCCTCCGTGCTCATTTCCGACCTAGGAAGAGGTGTGTTGTGGAGCTCCAACTGATGGAAAGAAAACCTAGGCTTTTCCCAACTTACTTTTACATTTTTATTCACTTTTTTTTTCTGCACTGGTTCCTGGGGGTCAGCTAATGACCTTGGTCAGCTATACGGTTACTGATGAATCAGATGAGAGCAAACATCCCTAGAATGAAGTTGGAGCTTCAGATTTTGGCACTTAGCCCCTTACTTCTTAAACATCCTCCCTGGGAGTCGAAATGTAGCAGCTCACAGAACAAATTAACCACGAAAGAATCGTGGTGTCTTTCCCAGACCAGTCCCCTTTTACCTACCGTTACCTAAGCCTCATTTCTTCGGCATTCTCGTGACATATATGGGGATGGGGTGCAGGCGGCGGCGCCGCAGACGTGGTGATGTGTGTGCTCGTATTTCTGTCTTCTTACTAAACGCGCTGGTGGAGCTCCTGACGTTATCAGAGCCAGCCACAAATGCCACATGTAAAGAAGCAAACATCCGGAGTGGCTTCCTGCAAGCCTTGCTTTTCTCAACATGAGAGATTTACGGGGCGCGGGTGTGTGTGTGTGTGTGTGTGTGTGCGCGCGCGCTCTAGGGAGTCAAGCCTAGTACCCTCGCGTCCTAGCCGGCGGTGGGCGTCGAAACTCACAGCGCGGGAGTTCTAGGCGCCTGCCTTGCTGGTTGCACTCACACTCCGGGCTCCCAGGACTCAAAAGACTGGGGGAGGAGGCGACTAATGCAGGCCAGGAGCTCTGCAGGTTGCCACTTGGGGCCTTGACCCGCGGGGGCGGAAATGAACCCTGGTAGGTGACAACTGTGGCTCAAGCCTGGAGTCCGAGCCATGCTTTTCCGCGGGCCTCTGAGCGTGATTTCTGGCCGACGTTAAGTGTTTTCGTTGCTCGGAAAGCGGGAGCCGAACGAGGGGCTCCCAAGTCGATAGGAAGGCTCTGTGGGCGCCCGGGCAGATCCGGGTTGGCCCGGAGCGCAAGTTCCTTGGGGCGGGGAGGGGGAGCTGCGCCGCACACGCAGGGACAACTCGGGGAAGGCCTCGGACGGGTCGGCCGGAGCGGTGTCCCTAGAGCAAAGGAGAACAGTGTGGCTCGTGCCGGTTCGAGTCGCGCCGCGGCTCCAGGGTCGGATGCAGGTGGCGTGCGGCGCCCCCCAGGTAGCGCCTCCCAGCCCAGAGCGCCGACCGGGCGCCGTCGGCACCTCCGGCGTCTCCTCCCAGTCCCGGGCCAGTCCCCCTCGGGGCCGGGACCAAGGTCGAAGGTTGCGGGCGGGAGGCCAGCGGTGGAGGAGTGGCCCGGAAGGCAGCGCCCTGTCACCTGCGCTGCTGGACCGGCGCCGCGCTCGCCCCGGCCCCAGTCCCGCGCCAGACCCTGCAGCCCCCTCCGCCGGCGCCTCCCACGGGCCTAACGGACGGGGGGAGAGAGGCTTCGGGGACTGTCGGTCCCGGGGAGATGCGCGAGCTTCCTTTCCACTTTCACGCCCTCTCGCGTTCCCGTGCCCCGTCCCTCCCCAACCCCGCCCCGGTGCAGGGCGACTGCTCCGCGCCGTCAGGGTTCCCGCTCGGCCCGCCCGGCGCTTGCACCGGCGAAGCAGGAAATGCGCTGTTCCCGGTCCACTTCCCCTGCTCAGAAACTGATCCGCGGGGCTTTCTTAGGTCCCTCACCACAGCTGTCGTCCCTGGGTGAGGTGTCCTTTCTTTTCTGCCTGCTGTTTGGAATCTCTTGCTGTCGTAGGGAGGTGGCTCTGGGGGGTGAGGAGGAGAGCCCAGCTCCTAGCCCGGGTCAAGTTA